AATTCACATGGGAACGCGAAGACCAGATGAAGAAGAAGTACCCTCACTTATTCTCTCATTCATGATCCTACCTTTCAAAAGAATTTCGGGACGAAATTCCCTCTAACGGGGGGATGATGTCACAACTAGCATTTTAGCTAGGAAATTCTATTTTCATGTAAACATAAGCTATTGTAAGGCTTGTACTCTAAGTGAACATCATGCTATATGCTAAAATGAAATCATCCATTTGAATCCAAACTCCTGAGTGAAGTTCAAAACCTAATACAATACATCTCATATATTCAACAATGGGTTGAAAACCCTAAAAATCCTGGTTCAAATTTGTTATGGACTAGGATCCTCTTATTGGGCCTAATGGACCAGTAAACTTTCAATTTGGCTATTTTGGGCCAAGGAACCCTATTTGGGCTCTAATTGGACCCACATCCATGAAACTAAAGTATCTTGGGTCATGTGGGCCTATAATGATTCATCTTATCTCTAATGGGCCATGATGGAGCGTAAATGGTTTCATAAGCCCTAATGGGCCTTAAACTATATTCTTGGGCTTCATTGGGCCGTAAACCCTCATAAGGGCCCACTGGGCCGAAAATCTTCATCTTGGGCCTCCTAAATTCGAACTAAACCAAGAAAGGGCCCAAACTCTTTCATTCTCTCTTCCTTTTCCCTTATACTCGGCCCAACAACAAAAAAAAAAAAAGGAATAACAAATAGGAAGGAAATGGAGTTGACACCTCACCAATACCTAGTGGATATCCATGCAAGAGTGCATGTATCCATGCAACCCTCAAATCACTCTCTTCATAAGTCAACCCTCCCCTCTCTTATCTCTCTTTAACTCTCGGCCTCTCTCCCTTTCCAACCTCACTCACCATTTCAAATTCAACACCTTTTCTCTCAACCTTCAACACTCTTCCACTCTCTATCTCTCAAGAAATTCGTGATTATTAGGAGTGTTTTCAAGAAGATCACTTCAAGCTTCACATTGTGGTAAGATCATACAAACTCAAGTTGATATACTTCATTTTTAAGCTCAATCACTCCTCCTAAACACATGTCTTTGGATTACTCGGGAACATACTCGCGCCGGTACTCAATCTCGGGGGTTGATATACCAGCATTCTCTTGTACAGGCAACATAGGGTTGTCTAAGGGCATTCTCTTTACATTCTCTTCATTCACTTTTGGCGTTCTATTAAACAATAACACACATGCATTAATACAAGATCGGACACAAATATACTAAACTATTTTAAGAAAATATAGGATTTTCTTGTGTTTACAAAGTTATACAGATCATTTTCTCAAAAATGCTTATGAACTCACCAACATTTTTATGTTGACCTATTTAAATTAACTTGTATTATCAGGAAATCGTTGAAGCAGGTTGGGCTGAACAAACTAATGGATGTTTTGTTATATTTTGTTTCATCATACTTAAATCATTTTGGTATGTAATATTCAAACACAATACTCGATGTAAACAATGTATGTTGTTATATTACATGTGTGATGATGATGATGTTATGCTTCAATTATATACTATGTGATGATACTACAAGGATGAAGTCACGTACAAGCCCCTAGATGTTTCCGCAGTGTGGTTCGGGGGTGTGACTCCAATGTCCGAAGTTGAGGTGGATGAGAAGCTGAGGTACTTGGAGAAACATGAGAAAATCTTAGATCGTAAGGTGAAGAAATTGAGATATAAAGAAATTATACTAGTGAAGGTACAATGACGTCACCACAAAGGTTTCGATGTGACTTAGGAACCCGAGGATGAGTTTAGAGAGAGATATCCTCACGTTTATAGTCGATACAAGAATAAATTATAGATTTCGGGGACAAAATCTTTTGAAGGGAGGGATAACTTGTAATACCCATTTTATAAACTTGTGTAGTATTATGTAGATATAATCTTTGGTATGAGTATTATGTATTTTTATATGGTTAAAATGAGTATTTTAGTGTAAATATATAAGTGGTTTGAGCATAGGGATTAAATAAGTAAGAATTGTGTTTTGTCGAAAGCCACGACGTGGCGATCATAAGGCCGCAACGTAGAGAGAGTTAGTCAAGTTACGTAAGATGAATAGTGATAGAACATACTTTGATAATGCCACGACGTTGAGGAGTTTAGCCACAATGTGTAAAAGTAAATTGCCTTCTATTTTTAGTGACAGATGGACAAACTTCACGAAAGAAAGGCTTCGTAAAAGAAAAACACACCACGGCATGGCGACGAAAACACGTTAAAAAAAGAGACCTATAATCAGGTTAGTTCGTCTATCACTCCCTAAAACACACCCCAAGGTTCGATTTCACCTACATAAACCCTAAAAATTCGATCTTTGAGGAGCGTTTCAGATTAGAGTGTTAATTTGATGATCTAAGGTAAGAATCACTACTTCTAAACATCTAATTTTGATTTTAGGGCTAATTATGATGCATTGGAAGAAACCCTAGGTGAAAATATATGAGCTTGAATGTTGGAATTGAGCTAGCAGATGATGTTATATAGCTTATTTATTGTTTATTTCAATGGTTTGAACCTATATACAAGAATTGGAGATTTATATGAGAAATTAAGTTCATGGGATTTAAGGTTCATGGGTAAAGGGTGTGACTTAATGAATTAAGTCCTTGAGTGATGAAATATATTGGTATATGATGTTCATAACAAATAATATATGTCTTTTATGAGTATCAAAAACTGGATATATGTATAGATTCTTGGCACATGTCAAGATGGTGATATGATCTTATAAATAGATAATTGATATATGTATGAGTTAAGTCATATAAATGACTTAATAAATGATATGCATGAGTTGATTTGAATAGGAAATCCAAAGAAGAGGTTGAACAAGTAACTGCCAAGCTTGGACTATCACCTACATAAGCCTTGAACAAGGTAAGTAACTTTGACTTACTTATGACATTGTTAATATAAATGTAAAGTTTAATCTTTATAAGTTATTAAATATTTGGATATGAATTATATGAATTGTGTATTGTATGATAATGTACACGAGAGTTGATTGAGTATGAGAAGTACACATGATATATCCATGAGAGATGATTAGATTATTTTATGATGAGATCATTGAGATAAAGATGATTATTGAGATTATCATGAGTTGATGATAGATCTATGGGGGATACCATATTCATCAAATACTCTGATGGCTTAAATTGCCTTTATGACTTACACCAACCAAGGAAGCCCCTAGTTGTGTTGTCTAACCATTGCTATAAACGATTAATCAGGAGAGTTGATTCTCCCTAATAATCATGGACTAGGATTTATGAGAATCAGTTTGGATGGGTATGTATAGGTGTAAGTTTTTATATATATCTAAGTTATGAGATATATCTATATTGTTTGGCAATAGATGGTTTTGCATGTTTGATAATTATAAGTTATCATCATAATAATATTGTGGGATTGAAAATCATATGTGTCTCACCAAGTTTACCAACATGACTAACTCAAATTATATGTATCATAAGTAACAAGGTTAAAGTTGCTAGGACTTGTTTAAGATGTCGAGTGATTAAGAGACAAACTGCAATAATGCTCAATACCATTAGGTCTTCACGTTGTAACAATGTTATGTATTGATTATGACATCTTTAGAGTTTTTGTATTTTGAAATAAAATATTTACTCAAAGATATTTTAATAAAACGAGACAATTTCCGCAATATGTTTTATTGGACCGAGATTTTCTGCAAACAAAGATTTTATGATTTTAAAACATAAAGAAAAGTTTTTTTTCCTGAAAAATAGGGGATGACACAAATCCTCAACCAAACACTCTAAAACCTAAAGTCTACATGGTGCACATTTACAAATGACCACACACCTCCACTTTATATACTAGTGAAATGAATACGCTTATTATAACCTAATAAATCACTCAACATTATAGATCATTACTTGCTCCAACAGGTTTTCGAGAATTAAGAGCACCACCGATTTTTCTGAGGGTTTTCACATTTCATCATCTCTCAAATTCAGTTCTATGTGTCTATATTTATAGGGGAATGATTTAAACCCTAAGAGATAATTACTTGGTAACTAAGTAATTATCTTTATATTTGGTAATTATCTGAATATCCGTTTCTTACACTTAGGTCCGTCTAGATCTACAAGTTTCATTTAATTAATTAAATGCTTAATTAATCAACAAACCAGATCCATATAATTATTCTTTAACCAATGTTACTTATATTTGTTCTTTGTGTATAACTCAAAAAGACACTGATATTAATAGTAATATTACCAATTAGTTGTAACTGTAGACATTATCTTCCAACAAGTATTTGTCCTTATAAATTTCTCAGAGTCACAATTATCTTATTGTTCATGAACTTGGAACTTCTTCTCGTCGAATGAACACAAACCAAAATATAATGGTTAATTCATAAAAATAATTTTTTTTTATTTAAGATTCTATATCATAGATTGAAAAATAAAAGTTCAATACATATCGATTGAAGGCAAACGAGCAACAAGCTGCGTCGCTAGCCATTTCTGGATGACAAAACCAATTCTTTTGAAAAAAACATTTGTGGATCTAGGAAATATGACATTAAAATGGATAAACCGACAAATTTCAGCCTCTATTATGGTCTTTATAGAATTCAAATCTTTTTTTGTTACTTTACAAAAATAATTCATAAAACAAATATCTCAAATGTTAAATGAAAAAATCTAGTAAAATTTAGAGTACAATGATCTTTTATGAAATTTAACTTTTTATGGTAGGTATAACCGATAAACCGAACATGTGCATAAAGAGAATATTTTGGGAAGGTTCTGGATCACGGGTTTGATACCTTTGTTAATAAACCGGTCTAACGTCTAGACGCATATACTAAAAACTCAAAACGTACTCCGGTTTTTGAAGAGCCCTCTGTTCCTCCTCCTACAAACAAACCCTCGGAGGCTCAGATTCTCACAATTATCGAAACCCTAAACCTAATTCCGCCATGTCTTACCAGCCAAGTCCTTCAAATCACGATGGAAACGACGACCACCGTAACCGGCGACTATACAACCCTTACCAAGACCTTAAAGTTCCTGCACAAACCCTATACAAACTCCCAACGTCCCCTGAATACCTCTTCCAAGAAGAATCCATCGCTCAACGCCGTAGTTGGAGTGAAAATCTCACATACTACACCGGTATCGGTTACCTCGGCGGCGCCGTACTCGGTGCCGGAAAAGGTTTAATCGAGGGAGTCAAGGCTTCTGAAGCCGGAGATACCATGAAGCTTAGAGTTAATCGGATCCTTAACGCCTCGGGTCACTCTGGTAGGCAGATCGGGAATAGGGCGGGTGTGATCGGGTTGTTGTATGCCGGTTTGGAGAGCGGGATGGTTCATATTCGGGATACAGATGATATTATCAACAGTGTGGTGGCGGGGTTGGGTACCGGAGCGCTTTATAAGGCGGCGGCAGGTCCTAGATCCGCCGCAGTTGCTGGAGCTATTGGTGGAATAACGGTAGGGCTGGCAGTGACAGGGAAGCAGGTTTTGAAGCGATACGTACCCATCTAAACCCTAAATGGTATCCATTTCTATTACAGTTTTGATCTCGAGGTCAGACGCTTAAAAGCTGGTTGACGATTTTTCGCATGTAAGCAAATGCATAATTCATTTTGTGTACTTAATCTTCCTTATATGGTGTTCTTTCAATTAATGATTGTTAGTGACAAATAATACATGTCATTGATGATATGGAAAATTGGCAAATTGCATTACAGGTTTCTGCCATCATCTTCATGTGAATGTTTGTGTGTTTTTCATTAGACCTGTAATTACATACTAGTTTTAGGATAAACATGGTTATGATTATTCATCTTCTTATGCACTGTTATCATGTCTCTCTCATACTACAGCCAATATACATGTGAAGAAACTAAGATCATTATTTTTCCCTGTTTTAGATGAAAGTTAGGAGATTTTCTGCATTAATTGATTAATAGTCCAGTGTATTAGTTGATGTTTCATCAGGGATGGGTGGCTTGCTGGTTGAATGAGTTCATTTTCTATCTGTTATATGTTTGGTGTTCATATTCAGATTTCAGGCCATCTGTTGTATCCTTGTAGGCCTTAAGTACACAGGTTATAAAATTTGTGATGTCTTGATATCAACTGCTATGTGTTATTATTATCATGATGAAAGATTATGTAGGTAGTTTTGTTATGTAAGAGACGTTTTTCTCCCTCTTTTCTTTTCCCTAATTTTCTTATTCTATGTTTTATAATCACTCGGGGTTCCGCATAACCCCTTCCCACCTTCATAGATTTTTTGCACATTTTTCTTTGACTTATTTTCCAAGAAATAGTCTTTTCAGTATTCTTTACCTATATCTTCAGCAAAGAATTCCTCTTCTCCATCTTTTGATCTTTATTATACTAATAAAACAAGATTTCTGATCTATTTATCCACACTAATATAACTCCATTGATAAAGCTTATGCTTTTGAGGAGCTTTGCCTCAAAAACTACTTGATATATTTTTTTGGGTAGTGATCCGGACACTACAATTTTTGACCATACACAACAAATTGTGTTTTATATGGGGTTGTACAACACAAATATATAAAACACAAATTGTTGTATATGGCTAAAAACTGTTGTGTACAAATCAACATCTTATTTTTTATTTTTTGTTGGATCCCCGTAGCAATATATTAATGTTTTTCGTTTTAGTTATAGCAAAAAGCAATCACTTTAAGGACAAGTGTCAGAATCGCAATATATTTGTCTCTATGGTTTTAATTTCTTAGACTATCCACATCAGTGTAATGACATTGTTCTTTCAATTGTGCCATATCAGATTGTAATTACCTTCTATATCAGTACAATGACAACATGCTTTCAAAAGTGGTTCCTATTGGCACCCAACAATTACTTTATAAATATTTTTATTCATTTAAAATTTCAGAGTATTAGTTTGATCATCAAATAGTAACGTATTAAATTGTTAATTAGTTGATAAAAAAGTTATACTATGAATAGGTAATTATCTTTACATTTTGATAATATTTATAATTACATTACCATAATTTACATATATACTACGTTTTAATAATACAAATATAATCAAATAATCATAACTCTCATATACCATAAAAAATGTATTATAATAGAAAATAGAGTTAATGACGGAGCCCACTGTCTGAATTGCAAGGCTTTTGCATGCTGTAAGATATAAGCTTAGGTGGCAACTAGAATTCATTTGTAAGGCCTTTGCAATAGGCTATGTGGATGTTCTTACATTCTCGCCTGATTGTTCATTGCCACATATGAAATTTCATTGCCACATATGAAATGACATTTTTATCTTTTATTTATTTATTTTAATTACTTTGAATTCTAAAATTTCAATAATGCCCTCCCTCATTAAAAAAAATCCTTCCATCATTCACCCATCTATGACATTGATGTTGAACCAAACCCACCCCCCCGTTACCCTTGGCTAGGGATGAGCTTTAGAACTGGACCGGTTCGGAATTAGAACCGGTTTTCCTATATTATAAGAACTGGGAACCGGACTGTTGGTTCTAGCGTCGGTTCCGGTTATGGTCTCGGTTTTTTGGTTATTTTTCAAACTAGAACCGGTTGAAATGTTGTAGATGATATGTTATCTTCCGGAGCATGTAAAAGATTCAATATTTAATCAAATTATGATTTTTTACATTCTAAATTGAAGTACAAACATTAAATTACATGATGAAAAAATAATCAAGTAATTCCGACTTCATATGAGTGAGTTATGCGCATTTTAAAAACGAGACAGATTCCAAAAATAAAAACAAAATGCTGAAACAGAAAATACGCAACATTAATATGCTGTCTTTCGGGGTCTATAGTTGATTCAATATCTAACCAAAATATGTGTTTGTACAGTATTAAATGAAGTACAAACATCAAATTATATGTTGGAAAAAATTAAGTAATTCCGACGTCATATAAATGAGTTATGTATATTTAAAAAAACGGGACAAATTCAAACTAACAAAAAAATTGCTGAAATAGAAAAAACACAACATCTGATATAATTTCTTTCGGGACATGTGTTTGATTCAATATCTAACCAAAATATATGTTTTTACAATAAAAAATGAATTACAAACTTCAAATTGCACGTTGGAAAAAAAATCAAGCAATTTCGACTTTATATGAGTGAGTTATGCGCATTTTAAAAAACGGAAAAAATGTCAATCCGGTTCTGCTTTTTAGAACCAGGACCGGTTTTCATGAAAATGGAGAACCGGTAATCAGACTTTATTAACAATTCTGGTTCCGGTTCCGGTTCAGCTCCGATCCAGTTTCGGTTCCGACGGTTCTAATGCTCATCCCTACCCTTCGCTATCACCTCAAGCGTTGAACCAAACCCTTTGTCAAATCACAATACGAAAAAGAACCAACTCTCAAAATAAAAAATTAACTTCAATCGTCTTTTTTCCTTTTTCTTAACAATATAATATAGTAGTATGTTTTCTGAAGACGTAATTAATAAAAAAAAAACATTTGTCTTTTGGCCTCCCTAATCGGTCTGGCTTTTTCAGCAAAACAGGTGCAACCGAAACCGACAAACGGTTAAACCTTGAAGCTGAAATCGAGAACCGCCTCGTGAAGTGAACGATTGGTTCAGTGCGACTGGTTTGCTCATTCCTAGTTGCAAAGACTAAGGCTATCCGGTGTGGTGACTGGAAGACGCGTGAGATGCTGACGTGGAGCCCCCCAAGACGTGTGACTGTGGCGTGGACGCGAAGACGGATGGAGACAGATGATTTGATTGGCCATTTGACTTTTTTCGACCGCTGGGGGAGCGTGGGACTATTTCGACCGTAAACTATGTGTGTGTGTGTGTGTATATATATATATATATATATATATATATATATATATAATATAATTAATCATTCAATTACTAATAAATTTCTGTATATATAACATTCATTTTACATTTCAAACACACACATACTCTTTTAACACACATTCAACAAAAAATACTCATCCCTCATATTTTTATGGATCCTGTAACACCCATAAAATTTACGCCAAATTTAAACTTTTCAATCATAAATAAAACCCAATAGTATTGTTTACAAAAATGTTTTCAAATATTTATTCGATCAGAGTGTCCCAAAAGCCAGATCATAAGGATGAGGAGCGGTACGGTCACGCATTCGCCTTGCCATGATCTCCTAAAGTACCTGAAACAATAAACTGAAAACTGTAAGCCCGAGGGCTTAGTGAGCTACCCCCAAAATACCAAAACCACACTGATAATACCATATCCGTAATAATCAATCAATCAACATGCATACTGGGCCATCGGCCTGACTGGACCGCCCTACAGGGCCTACAGTCTAACTGAATCTATACCGAGCCTTCGGCATGACTGGACCGCCACGTGGGCCTACAGTCTCCCCGGACCGCTCATAGGGTGTGTTGGCCTTCAGCACAAAGCAGGACCGCCTCAACCCAAGCAACAAGCAATTAACCATGTGCGCATAACTAACATATACTGGCATATACAAACATCAAACATATATATCTTACTGACCACCAAACATAGCAATCTCTCATAACTAGAGCACTGACCTAGCAAGTCACTAACATATTAATCCCTACGGATCATAAGAGCATAACATACTGTCTATCCTGATTCCGATCTAACAGATCATATCCACATGTAACATACCATAACGATAACAACTAAAGGGCCGACATTGGTGCCTTAGACCCTATCGATATAGTGAGGATAACTCACCTTGCAGATGTCTTCTCGTTAGATAAACTTCAACCCTCGGATCACTGCCACAAACTCCACCACCTATTACCATAGTATAAACATACCCATAAGACAACTAATCAAACCCTGGTTAAAGTCAAAGTTATCAGTCAAGGTCAGCAGTCCATGTTGACCTTGACTCGCCGAGTTCCTTGAAGTACTAACTCACTCGCCGAGTCACCTGAGTGACTCGTCGAGTTCCTTTGGTTTACGATCGAGACCCTAAGGCCACTCGTCGAGCTTCCTTCTTGCAACTCGACAGTTACCCGCACATACATAAATTGGGGCAACCTCAACCGACTCGCCGAGTTGTTCATCCACTCGTCGAGTCTACGACAATCTTCATCGGACTCGCTGAGTTGTTCTTCCAACTCGCCGAGTCCATGCCTATCTTCATATGACTCTCCGAGTCGACCATGCGACTCGCCGAGTCCCTTCAGTCCTTTTTGCCATACAGACTCATTTGAGCCATGCAGCAGCTCCAAACTACAGATCCAAGCTTCTAAAGCATGTTTTTCACGTAAAGTTGCAAACTTTACGTGCATGCATAGCTACAAAGGCTATTAATGTCAAATCCAAGCTCACAATGGGGGTTTCATACTCAAAGAGGCTTCATACATGACCAAATTCGGGGCTTTATGACTATAGAACCCCAGAAGGGTCCAGATATGAAGTTACAACTTCAGATCTAGCCCATATCCCACTTCATCTTCTCAATCAAACCATAAAAAACCTAGATCTCAACCAA